CAGTGAAATTAATGCAAAATCAATTGAAGTCCCTAACCCTCGAAACTTCTCCGAAGAACCATATATAAAAGGTTATAGAACACGAAAAAAAATTGATTAGCCAATCAGATTTTTTTTTTTTTTCCGGGGGCCAGAATCGCCAATAAGCTCGTCGGTGCTCTCAATCCCATCATTCATGTTTCGCCATAAATCAATGTATTTGATGTGTTACTTTTTGGACAACTAATCCCAACTTTGGTTGTTGAGCACTTGAGCTGTGTGAATATGCAGGGACGAATTCAGGACATAACACATGAGGGCAAAAATGAAAAAAAAAAAAAATCATGGAAGAGGGAGGGCCAAAATTAATTAATATGTTAACTACATCGGTATGACTAGTGAAGTCTGATGGGTTGGAAGGGTCACTTGCTTTTTGCCAATTCCACGACAAAAATACAGCATCGAATCTTTTTAAAATGCACATGTATTGTATATTCTGGCATAAATGAATCAATATCTCTCATATTTCGAAGGATATGGTTTCCATTGATTCACATTTATTTATGTCTAATCATGCAGTTAAGTATATAATTCTAATTCTAATACAATTTTTCACTAGAATGTCAAATTTCCATAATTATGTAAAGGATTAAAGAATAAAAATGCTCTATAACTTTTTTTGTGAGAGTCGTTTGGTATTTTAAATTTTTTTTCAACAGTGTTATTCCGAAATTTTTTTAAAAAAAGTAATTTTATCCCACAGTTAATTTTGAAAAACGTTAACCATTAATCCTGTACTTTGACGAAAAATTTGCATGTGTCCCGGAGCCACTGTTCTTCCGCCAACTCATATTCGGATTCCTCATTTTCGATCAAACCATCCTCTGTGCCATTTTCGGCCAGGCAACTTTCAATGGAGTTATGTTGACCGCCTTGAGCAATAATTTAGACTAAGTAGAATACCTTTTAAAAAAAAAATTGAAGAAGGAATGTGATATTTTTAAGGAGCTTTTGCCTTGTCATCTTCCACTCAAATAACAACAGTCCACAGATATTCTTCAGTGGTTTTGGCTTAAAAATCAGTCGCCGTGCAATATCTTACAGCGCTGTGCTTGCAGCTGTCTTCTTCAAACCTCACCATATCGTCAGATGATGATGAAATCAACATGTACCCTTCATAAAATTACAAAAACTTGTCAAGCCTCTTCATCTTTCCTCTTTTCTTTATTAGCAAATCTATATCTTTCATAATTTATTTTTTTATGTTATTATGTTGAATTTTAAAAATTTTACACTTTTGATTTTTCTTAAATAAAAAGAACCAATTTTTACTAAATTATTTGGTTTTAAAATACAATAACATGAAAATACAATTTTATTAACTAATTTGATTTTAAACTATTTTAATGATATTCAATTTATTTTTTAATAAAGATAATTGTATTAAACACACACACACACACATATATTGATATAAGGGTATAATAGTTATTGTGATATTTGTGCTCTCTCTCTTTTTCTTATTTTCTCCTGTCTATTTAAACATAAGGGGTAATATATTTTTTTTATTTTTTCTTCTCTCCATTTTTTTCTCTATCTCACTATGAGGAAGGTTTAGTTCAGAGAAAGTTAATGAAAAAACAGGGGCAAACCAAAAAGAGATCGAATTATGTTGCATGTATATCAAGAGCACAACACAACGATACATGAAACTACAGAAAAGGTTAACCAGAGAGGGGGAAAATGGGTAAATATATATATATATATATATATTCAATTAACGAGACACAACACAGAGGTTGTGTGTGGATTCCACATGTCCCAATAGCACTTGGACAATACAAACACCACACGCAGACTAATGAAGACGACACACGTCTATCAGTATTTCTGGGTGTACCAGTTGAGGATACAAGCAACGAGCTTGTCCATTTCAGCTTTGCCGGAGATTTTGCCGTCATGATTTAAGTCGGCGATTCGGAGAAAACGTTGAGCTCTAAAAAACGGCCAGCGTGAGCCGATTTCTTTCAAAGCTTTCTTGAGCTCGTCCTTGGTGAGGCAACCGTCGCCGACGCCGTTTCTGTCAGCTCTGGCCAAGATTTCCCTGACTTGCTTCTCCGTCGTCACTGATCGGGGTATGGTTACGGATATGAACGCTGTCATTATTGTCACTGCCCTGACCTCACTCTGCCTCTGCTCTTTCTTGCATTTTCCTTGCTGCTTCTCCTTTTTCAAGCCAAATCTCGGGTCGTGGATCTTGCCCATTGGTAGGCTAGCTCCACCTAAGTTGCATAGTTACGGACACAAGTATACAATATGATACAGCATGATACCATAATATGATAAACTTTTAAAATTTTAAGATATGAGTTCAGAAATATTTATAATATATATTTTAATATTTTATAACATAAATATATATATATATATATATATATTTTGATTTTTAAATAAGTATTTTTAAAATAATATAAAGATATTTATAGTAATCAACTAAAATGTTAAGTGTTTTATCAAATTTTTAAGTGATTTAATAAAAAATTATTAAAAAAATTATAAATGTTATAATGCGAGATATGCATATAAAATTATCCTATAAATATCGTATCGAATACAAATATATGTATTTTCTTGAAACATCCATGCTTTATAGAGCTCCACCCATTTCAGCTGGAAATCCATGTGATGGGTTGTTCTTCTTCTTTCTACTAAAAGTGCTAAACTAAGGTCAAATATATTTGGTATCATGCGATGAGTTTGGTGGAATGGGAAATAGAAGAAAAATTGACGAGGTTTAGATGTTTTGATACAAATGAAAAGCCATTAACAAGGATTGGCCCATTACCTCAAACGTGGCGATGGGCAATCCTTCCCAAGATCAAAGGACTGGCCACCACTCCATGGGAATGAATATCTATGGACCAAAGTATCCCTGCCATGTTTTGTTATTTCCAAGCTTGCCCACCACTTTTTCCTCATTTCAGTATGCACTCTGGGTAGTGGTATATGTTCATAGAATGATACACTTTCCAAATTTTCCTATTTTGCTGTATGTACTTTCTACTTTGCTTTTGAATGCATCTTTGCTGCCAAATTGGCCCTCTGCCCATGTCATTTTGTAACATTTTTTTGTGGCTTGGCTAAATCTCTTTCTCTTTATTTTTTTCTCGCGTCTTCCTTCATTGTAAGCAACCTTAATTTTCAATTTATTTATAAAATAGGAGCCTCCATGCATATTGGAGTCCTTACACTGTACTTTCTACTTTGCTTTTGAATGCATCTTTGCTGCCAAATTGGCCCTCTGCCCATGTCATTTTGTAACATTTTTTGTGGCTTGGCTAAATCTCTTTCTCTTTATTTTTTTCTCGCGTCTTCCTTCATTGTAAGCAACCTTAATTTTCAATTTATTTATAAAATAGGAGCCTCCATGCATATTGGAGTCCTTACACTCATTAAATTGAAGAGCATCTTTTGACCTTCTTGGCCCTACAAGGGACGTATTCTTTGATAAGAAGTAAAAGTGTTTAATCTCAATGTAATTTAAATGTATTGAAGCTAACTCATCAAATTAATTTGAAAGAACCATCTTAACAGAAGTATGGGATCCACTAAGCATTTAATGATGCACAAACAATTAAAACTAAAATTTAATGGTCAAACTTAACGATGGCACCAAAATGTAATTTTATTTTTAAGTTTTAGGGCAATATTACTTAGAGAAAAAAATCTAGGATATCAAACACCACTCACAAATTAACATTTTTGCGTTTTAATCCTTGTTTATATTTGATATATGTTTTTCTTGTTCGTTACATTAACGATGTATAGCTGTATAAGTGATATTCAACATCTACAGTTTAAAATCTTTATCTTTCTCAGACCAGGCTACATCCATAATCCTCTGTAACTGTTCTGTTTAAGTAAAGAAAGGCAATAATAATAATAATAAATATGCGCGTTTGCTTAAAAATTGGCACAAACAAAACGCGCCAGGTAGGGTCGAACCTACGACCTTCTGCTTAGGAAACAGACGCTCTATCCACTGAGCTACAAGCGCCGCGGTTGCTTCTTGGGGAAATTAAACATCAAATAAAGTTCTAATATCTTGACGCCGTGAAGAATTAAAACGCAGGGGGTACAATGGAGAAATAAGTGGTGGCCTATGGTAGTAAACGCTTGAGCATCTTTTACGTCAACGGTTGCTAATTCGAACCTGCATGGATGTAATGAGCATATTTGATTAAGATGGCCACCTTATTTATCTATTTATTTCCCTGGTCACTTGGAATGATGTGAGAGGAATCCCTAAATAGTACTTTTTCTAAGACAGTACTTATCTATTACAAAGAGAGGATGATTAATATCAATATTATTCTTCATTTTAAAACATAAAATTTACATAAAAGTGCACTGTTCATAATAATGTGAACTGTTTTTCCTTTTTCAATTAAAATGATAATAACTTGTGTGTTAATTAATGAAACAAAGGATTTATTAGATAATCAATATAAAATATTAAATATATACTCCTTTCATCCCCCATATATGAGGTATTTTTTAAAATTTTATTTTGTCCCTAAATATAACAGGTGATAATGATATTTTTGAATAATTAAATAATTTTATCTTTGTTTTAAAAAATAAAATAGATAATTAATTATACATTTTCCTACTACAATCATGATATTAATTATGATATTATTAGGAATAAAATTAAAAAATTATTACATTTTTATGTGAATTTAACTAAATAACAAATTTTTACTAATATATGAAATTTAGTATTTAAAAGTACTAAATGATACACTCATGTTTATTTATTGCGCTAGAAGTCACGTAAAAGCGGGCATTGACAAGAAAAATGGGAGGATGAAGTGTAAAAGGGGGAAGAGAGAGAACGTATAGATTGGTAGTCCGTGTGATGAGGGTACGCTCCACTAACTGTGTACCCTTCCCGTCCTTCCCGCTCTTCTAAATTTAGTTGCTTCTTTCCCACCTTTCTTTATTTTTGAAGAACCTAATTTCGATGTTCATCCCACTACGTCTCTCCTCTCAGTTTTCAGACATCATGATTTTTCGTCGAATATCAATCATCTAATTCCTTTCTGCTTATTCTGGGTGCGCTTCTCTTTTTCTTTCCTTTTCATTGCTGCCTGCTAGTTTCCGCTTCGTCTGTTTTTCTTTTTTATATCAACTTTCTTTCCTCCTTAGATAGACGCATCAGAAGAATTTTCAGTTCTTCATATCCTTCCAGTTTCACATTGGCAAGGCTTCGTTCTATATGATTTATTAGCCCATCCCATGCATAAGTACATTCTAGATGCCATAATAACTTCCTATGGTTTACAAGAGGAAACCGATATCTTTTCTTATTAAAGTTTAGTAAGCGCAGATAGGAACATGGGCATACATGTATGGTACTTACCATTTTTTTTTTTTGCAGTTTAAATAAAGTATTATTGTCCTGTCTCTTTCTCTCAACTTCTGCTGTTTTGGTGATTGTATATTTGATTTCAATATTATGAATTTGAGAGGATAAAAAACTTACGTTCCATTTAGTGTATAATTATATAACTCTAAAATCTAAATATTTTTATTGATTGATCTTAAAGGACGTGGACGTGAATATATGTCCATTTAGTTACGGTTCAGACTAACGAACTTTTGAAGAAACTTTGTTCTATTATCATTCTTCCTTAATTTCCTTATAGAGACGATGAAAGGGAAACAGTTAATGAACTGAAATCTCATTATTTGGCCACCTAAGGTTTGCTCAGATCATAAAAGTAGGGTGGATTTAGGGTTTGAATCCTCTTGGATGAAACAAAAGAGAAGATTATCAGTATTTGGGAAAAGCATCTCCTCTTAATTTTGAAATTTTACGTTGTAATTCTTAATCTTGGAAATCATGATAATGAATCTCTTGTTTTTGCATTTTGTTGTTGATTGATTTTAGACACGCACCTCCTTGGTGCTCCCAACTACTTTATAACAATGGAGGGTGTCGAAGTGAAGACGCCTCTCTCGGAATCATGTTCAAAGTGGTCAGAGGAGAAGCCAAAGGCAGAACGATCTAAAGAGACTTCTGAAGATACAAATTCTTACATTGAAGCTCCAGCCAATCAACTTAGCAACGGAAAAGTGAAATCTATCACAAATTTTACAGAGACTGAATTTACATCACCACCACATGCTTTGGATGGTCAAATTGCAGGGCAAGATGAATTTTTTCCTGCGGTTAATTCAACTTCAACCTCAGATTCTATGGATGCTGTGAAAGAAAGAAGCAATCAGGAAATTGTCATTGAAAATACCGGACCAGAAGTTAAACACAATTTCTCGGATAGGCAACAAATGCTAGATGGTAGCAAAACTGCCACTTATAGTAGTGATGACCACAACCAAATTATTTCAGCTTCCTATCATGAAACACAAAATATGCAGAATGTTCACAGTGAACAAAAAAGTAATCCATCTCAAATAAGGGTCACCAGTGCTGCTGATGAAGTCTTGGGAACGATCGACAGTGAAGATCATAATGAGATTACACTACCAGCTTCCTCTTCTGAGATGAAAGGTCTTCAAAATGACCACAATGAACTAAAGTTTGGTTCTCCTCAAACACCAGCTAGTAGTTCTGATACTGAATTCTTGGAAACAGTTCAGACCGATGATCACAATGAGATTATACAATCATCTTCCCCTTTAGAAGCCAAAGATTTGCAAAATGGCAACTATGAACAAAAGAGAGATCCACCTCAAGTAAATGTTCCTACTGCCGCTACTGAAGTCTTGGGAACGATCTACAGTAAGGATCGTAATGAAAGTATACTATCATGTTCCTATTTTGAAATGAAAGATTTGCAGAATGATCACGATGAACTAAAGATTGATTCACCTGATATGCAAATTGCCAGTCCTGCTGTTGAAGTCTTGGGAATGGTCAACACTAATGATCATGATGAGATTGCAATATCAACTTCCTCCACTAGAGTAAAAGATTTGCAGGATGATCTCGACGAACTAAATATCAGTCCACCAGAAGTAGAGGTTGTGAATGCTGAAACTGATGTCTTGGGAATGATCGACACACCTACACGGGCCAAGCAGGTTGGCCATATTGATACCGCAGCTCCAATTGAATCTGTCAAAGCAGCTGTTTCCAAATTTGGAGGAATCGTGGACTGGAAGGCTCATAGAAACCAAACAGTGGAAGTAAGGATCTCTTATATATATTTTCATATTTTAATATCACCATTTTCCTTTTTCAAGTTACTCTCTCTCTCTCTCTCTCTCTCTCTGTGTTTCCAAATTTGGTGCTTCATAAGGAAATAAATCTTTTGGCCGCTTTGGTTGCTTCCTAAAGAATCTTGATCCTGGGGAGAAATATGAAAATAATAGCTATAGCTTTAATGGTTGTTGTAATGTTGTTTTGGGGGATGTCTTCAACCTGAAACTTCCTCTCGTTTGGCCTAAGTAATAATTTTATGGGCCAAATATTTTGCCTTAGTTGAAAGAGGAAGTTTTGTTTATTAAATAACCTTGGACAATATCAAAGCAGGAAATAAAGTTTAAATATGTGTATAAATGGTACTTTGTTCTGGAATAAATTTCATTAGCAAGCAAATTGGAACTGTCTTCCTCGCTTGCATCCTGCCAAGCCTAAGATAAACTATTAGTACTCACAATCACTATATCTGAAAAGGAGACTTTTACATGGTTGTACAGAGACGCCAACATGTAGAACAAGAACTCCAGAAAGCACAAGAGGAGATCCCGGGGTACAGAAAACAATTTGAGGCTGCTGAACATGTAAAAATCCAAGTATTAAAGGAGTTGGATAGTACTAAAAGATCAATTGAAGAATTAAAACTAAACCTAGAGAGGGCACAAACAGAAGAGCGCCAAGCAAGACAGGACTCGGAGCTTGCGAAGCTTAGAGTCGAAGAGATGGAACAAGGTATTGCAGATGAAGCCAGCGTGGCAGCCAAGGCACAACTTGAGGTTGCTAAAGCCAGGTTTACAGCAGCTATTTCTGAGCTTATGTTTGTGAGGGAAGAGTTGGAAGGATTGCGCAAGGAATATGCTTCCTTAGAGATTGATAAAGAAGTAGCTGTTAAGAAAGCTGAAGATGCTGTTCTTGCATCAAAAGAAGTGGAAAAGACAGTGGAAGAATTGACCATTGAATTAATTGCTGCAAAGGAGTCATTCGAGTCGACACATTCTGCACACTTGGAAGCGGAGGAGAAAAGAATAGGAACAATCATGGCTAGAGACCAAGATTCTCACAACTGGGAGAAGGAACTCAAACATATAGAAGAAGAGCTCCAAAAACTAAGCCAGCAAATTTTATTAACAAAGGATCTCAAGTCTAAACTAGACACTGCCTCTGCTGTGCTGCTTGATCTAAAAGCTGAATTAGTTGCTTATATGGAATCGAAATTGAAGCATGAAAGTGATGTTGAAGGAGTTTCAAAATTAGATCCAGAGGAACTAGAGAAGAAAACACATACTGAAATAGTAGCAATTGTCGCATCAGCTAGAAAGGAACTAGAGCAAGTGAAGATCAATTTGGACGAACGAACTAATGAGGTTAATCGCTTGAAGGTGGCTGCTGAGTCACTAAAATCGGAACTTGAGCAAGAGAAGTCAACTCTTGCCAACATTAGGCAGAGAGAGGGAATGGCCTCCATTGCGGTTGCTTCGCTTGAAGCAGAACTAGAGAAGACTAGATCTGAAATAGCTGAAATACAAATAAAGGAGAAAGAGACGAAAGAAAAAATGGTTGAGCTACCTGAAAAACTACAACAAGCAGCTGAAAATGCTGATCAGGTCAACTCATTTGCTCGAGTGGCTCGTGAAGAGCTGCGAAAAGTAAAGGATGAAGCAGAGCAAGCCAAGGCTGCAGCAACTACAGTGGAAAGCAAATTACTTGCAACTCAAAAGGAGATAGAGGCAGCCAGGGCGTCTGAGAAGTTGGCCATAGCAACAATCAAAGCGTTGCAAGAGAGTGAGTCAGCTAGAAGAAACCTTGATGCAGACCCTTCCAATGGGGTGACACTTTCTTTAGAGGAATACTATGAACTCAGTAAACGTGCCCATGAGGCAGAAGAGCAAGCCAATTTGAGGGTTGTAGCTGTTAATTCTGATATTGAGATGGCCAGGGAGTCTGAATTGAAAACCTTGGAGAGATTGGAAGAAGTGAATCAAGAGATGTTTGCCATTAGGGAATCTCTGAAGGTGGCAATGGATAAAGCTGAAAAGGCAACAGAAGGAAAATTAGCCACAGAACAAGAATTAAGAAAGTGGAGGGCCGAACATGAACAGCGAAGAAAGGCTGGTGAGTCTGACCAAGGAGTCGTAAACCAAAATCAAAGCCCCACGGTCAGTTCTGAGGGGACTGGGGACGTAAATCTCCAAGAAGCAGCTTCCGAGGAAGGTAGTCTTGTACATTACTTATCGAGTTCAAAGTCCAATGTACATGCAAACAACACTGACAATGGACCTGCCCCAGAAAAAAAGAATGGTAAGAAGAAAAAGAGGTCATTGTTCCCACGTGTTTTAATGTTCTTTGCTAGAAGAAAATCAACGAAGTCCTAGTTTTCCTCGGTAGAAATCATATGCCATGTAATGCTGTGGCTATCTTACTCCTCATCCTTTTGAAGTTCATGGGCAAGAATGGCAGGAAACTCGAATATGTAAAGAACCAGTACATGGTTAGTCATTGTTGTATGTATGATTGGCTCGAATATATTTTGCCTTACTGGAAGGATCATGTTTGGTTGGTAATTATATCATCCTTGGTAGGAAAAGAGAGAATAGGATGATTCTGTAATGTACATAGGCTTATGTTATATTGATCCTCAGGTTTTGTAAAGATTCATGAGATTTGATCAAATAAAAGTTCTTTTCCCCAGTGGTTACTTTTGCAAGTACAACTTCGTTAGTCAGAAGTTACCTAAAAATGGCATGATGCATGAAAATTCGGAAGTATTTTATAACAAGTAATAGAAATTAATCTTATGAAGCTTATTTGCATAATGAGAAAGTTATATTCATCATTAGTCCTGAGTCTCAAGATTTATTTCTGTTGCCTTAAAAGAGGCAGGATATTTTGATAATATTTAATAAATTTGAAAAAAGAATTACATGAAATATGATTAGAAGGGTGACATTTAGGTTTTTCGTAAAGAAATTATTGACACTTCGATCCCTTGAAATAAATGGCCTTTTTGAAATTGACAATAAGATATACCACGTTAACATTTTTTAAGTAGGAACCAAATGTTAGCAACTCCCTTATAAATTATAAGGGACGCAAAAACGGATCTCCTGTCGATATTATAGGCACAAGAGCATAGTATTTGCATTCAAATAGACTTCATTCATTCCAAGGTTGCTGTTCAAGTCCTCGATGGATGTTACTTCGACAACACTCACCCCATAAAATCCTTCTTGTCCATTGTCTCTCATCATATCCCTCACCCTTGCCACATCATCCCACCTCCCTACCACCGCATAAAGATTTGACATTAATACGTAAAGCCCACCATTTCTATGATCCAAGTAAAACAATTTATTCGCCAAGCATTCCCCAAGTTTGATTTCTTGGTGGATGCTGCAAGCACTTAATAATGATATCCACACAGCAGAATCAGGTCGGACCTCCATACTGTTAATAAATTCCATTGCTTCGTGAAAAAATCCTGCTCGACCTAATGTACCAACCATGCAAGCATAATGTTGCAAATCTGGCATCAAACCATACTCATCTTTCATGATTCGAAAGTACTCGATTCCTTCGCAAACAAGTGCACCATGGGTGCATGCAGCTAGAACTCCCAAAAAGGTTATTTTATCAGGTTTTAGCCCTTGTTTTTGCAGTTCATTGTAGCCAGTGAAAGCTTTATGTTCAACCCCGTAAAGGCTGTATCCTGATATAATCGAGTTCCAAGTTGCCAAACATGGATCAATGATGCTATTGAACACCCTTTCAGCATAATCCAACCTTCCGCACTTGGTGTACATGTCTGTTAGAGCAGTGCCCGTGAAATCTTCCATTTCCACGTTGTTCCTTAGGACATAGTTATGCAGCGTCTCCCCAGTCCTTAGGTACCCAAGCTGGCTACACGCGCATAGTATACTAGAAATAGTTATGGCATCAGGTTTTTGTCCAGACCTTTTCATTTGGCAGAACAAGTCTATGGCATCACTTGATTTTCCAGCCCGCACACAGCCAGATATCACAGAATTCCAAGTGATAAGAGGTTTATAACTCATCTCAAGAAACAAAAAGAAAGCAGCTTCTATCTCATCAAATTTTGAATACATGCTTATTAGCCCATTAAAGACTAAACCGTCGATAGTCAATCCATTCTTTAAGCCATAAGCATGGAAAGCACGTCCAACTGCAAGATGAGCAGGATCTATAATGCCATGAAGGACGCTAAGCAAAGCAACTGCATCCAGTTTCATGTCCAATTGCTGAGTTTGGATAAAATACTCAACTACTGACTTTATATCACCCTTCTCAGCATAGCTTGACATTATTGCAGTTAAGGAAATCAGGTTGTTGGTTGGCAAATGTTTGTAAAGAAGTTCTGCTATATGCGTGAGTCCTTGCCTTGCATATAGGCAAACTAGTGAAGTAATGACAGAAGCATGATTGATCATGCCACATTTAATGATGTAACAATGAATAGTTTCTGGAACAGCATTTGCTGACAGAAGGCACATCATTGTCACTGGGCCGGGTTGCAAACCCTCATTTAGCATTTCTTTGAAGCAAATCATTGCCTTCTCCAAGAATCCATTTTGGCCATAGGCACCAACCATAGAATTCCAAGAAACGAGACTTCTTTCGGACGTTTCTTCAAACAAAAGTTCTGATGCTTCCAAATCCTCGCATTTAGCATACATTGAGGAAAGGGCATTTTTCAATTGACAATCAAAACCAAGGCCAGCTTTAATTCCAAATCCATGAAGGGATCTTCCTTGAAGAATAAGTTCAAAGCAACCACAGGTTGGTGCCAAACCAACAATTGTCGCATGATCAGGTCTGGAACCATCTCTAAGCATGTGTACAAAGAGAGCCAGAGCATCATAACCATGTCCGTTCCGTGAATATCCATAAATCAATGCGTTCCACGAAACAACATCTCTACAAGGCATATCTTCAAACAGCTGTCGAGCATTAGTTGTAAGGCCCACTTTCATGTATAAATCCAGAAGAGCAGTATTTACGTAAACAAATCGGTTGACGCCCCGTCTTACTAATTGAGTTTGAATCTGGCTAACTTGAAATTCCGTAGCCACAGAGCTATGAGCATCGGAAGAGAGCAATGAAGCAATGGCTTTTACAAGTAGCGAAAAGGTGAGATCATTGGGATTCACATTAGCCTCTAGAAGCTGCCGAAAGATAACCAGTGGCCACTTCGCATTTTGGCTTCCATGATAGTATAAGGCAAGCAGCGAGTGAAAGAACGAGATGCCACGAGTTTTGGAGCTCCAGCCTGTACAAGCGTTCATAATCTCAGGACCTCGCGGGGATTGTAGGAGGAGACTAGCTTGTACATATTCCAAGACGGCATCGTCGTTTTGCGTGAACTGATAATTAGACGGACGACACGAGGAAAGAGTCACTCGCGTAAATGGAAAGCGCAATTGCTTAATAACGCACCATATCATTCATGTTCCATGTAATAAAAGCATGGTCTTCAAATAATATTAAATATAAGTTAATAATTATTTTATTAATAATAAAAAAATTTAAAAAAATTAAATAAATATTTTATTATAAAATAAAATTATTAAAAATAACACATAAAATTTTATTTAATTAAATTAGTATAATTTTATCGGATGGAGTATGAATAATGTAGTATATTAGATATATACAAAAATTTGTTATTTGTTATCCCACTTGACTTGAAGTTTTGACAGTGGAATAATGCTTTTTGTTGCATTAGCACATTCTACACATGGCTCATATTTTTCCTGGCAAAAGAAAGGGCCTCATATTCTCATGTCATTAGACTTTGGCGGGATTGTTTTTTTTTTCCCTGGTTATCAAATTTTTTGATTGAATTTTTTCCTATGGTTATTAAATTTTAATTTCAAATTTAAATTGTAAGAGATTTTCAACTATTGTGCTGATTTTCTAGCTCAAATGGCTTTGAAAAATTATTTTAATACTATTTTTTTTAACCACTAAATGTAAAAACCTTATAAATTTTGATATAACTTAATTTTGATCTCGTGCATGATTTTTTACCATAGACATGTATTTAAAAAAAAAGTTGTAAGAGATTTTTTAATAATAAAATCACACTTTGAAATTAAACCACCGACACTTTTGGAACAAACTATACAATTTGTGACCAAATAAACAAATTAAACTAAATTAAATTAGTTTTTCTTAATGCTTATGAAGTGATTATTTATCCCCCATATATAATACCATAGGAAACACACTAAATTCTAGCATCATACATTCTCTCTACCTATTCTTATTAATCAAAGGAATATATAGTCCAATCTTAATTATAAGAAAAGATTAACCATTTTTCAACTATTAAAAAGTGATAATTAAGTTCTTAAACTTGTTAAAAAAATATGTAACTTTTGAATTTCACTCTTCATTGGAATTAATATTTACAATAAAGTGCCCAATTTTATCGGATCATTAATTATAAAAATCCCAATTCCCATAAAACATAATGATACATTGATACTTACAATAAATGAATGCATGATTAAAAAAAAAACATATGAACACTGCATCTTTACACTTTGGATTAAGTGGGGAGAAAATAATTTTTCTATAATGATTTGGCCAAACAAATAATTTTCCTATAATTAGGAATAGAACCAAAGATAGCGTGGAAGAAAAGTAATTAATGTTTTGAAATATGAGGTGACCAACTAAAATTAAGAACGCCTTTTAAAAGTCGGCTTAGGACTAGAGAAATAGAGATCACTTAGATTAGACCCAGAAACGCTTTATAAAGAATAGAAACAGAAAGGATCAATAATTCCTTTGGATTACAATAACCACAAGACAATAGCATTGAGTGGCAAACAATCAAAAAGCCACTCAATCCTCGATTAAATTGTGAATTGATGTCAACTACGTTCTAATTGCGAGGTGCAGGATAACTTTGTGCTCTTTCACCATATGGATTTTCGAGGACTGGCACCTCCGGTCCATATATCAAACGGCAACGCTCAGTAAACGAACCAACCATTCTAGAGGCCACCTCCTTAAAGAACATTGAAGCAATCTGAGAACCAGAGCGTCAGTATTTAAAATATATATATATATATATATATTCTATCAATCAATAGTCATAACTCAAAAGTCCAAATACGAAGATGCCTGATATGGGATATTCAGTACTTACAACATCCATGAACACGAATAGAGAGCACAAAAGAATAAAGAAAGGGACCACATCACTAGAACACTAAGAAAACTAAACACGAATCTAAAATTCTTCTCCACGGGTTGACCATAGATTGCCTCTTTAAACTACATGCAAATATTTTCATGTTTAGATTTTGGACTGAAATCTAGGCATAAATATGTACGAATTGTAAAATTATGTAACTCTCATGTTGGCAAGACTCAAAGATCGATAACATTAACAACATATGCAAAACCCATGTTTTTAAATCAGACCAAATGTTTCGTCAGAAGTTGACAGTGTAACAGAGCGTGATATAAATCACAACAGCAGGAGGCGCACTAGCAATATAGGATAAAATTACCGCTAGGAACAAAAGGAGGAAGCTGAAGTAACTAGAACAGCATCTGTCATTGACCTCGTTGATTGTGTCAAAGGCCATGCTGGCAATTTTATGTTTAGAAACGTGGGAACATTGTGAAGGGAAATGCATGCCAAATTGCCAATATATATCAGGTATTAAGTTCTAAAAAAGCACATATTCTTTAACACACAAAAATATCTATTATGAAGGTGGCTAAAAAGACTTGGCATGGACTTGTATGATGCATTCAAATGAAGGGTTCAAGTCAAATCAATTTAATATTAACGGAAGAACTAACTCCAGTCAAGCAAGAATGACGACAAAAACAACACTGAGGGGAAAAGATACAGAATCACCGAGTCATACCTGTCTGTAAAGAGGAGATTGAAACTTAAAATCAACCAGGAAATAAACGTTGCAAGATCCTGGAACTGGCCCGGGATTAAATTCCCATATGTTTATCAAATGTTCAAACAGGGTACTCTGGGATACAGTGGTCTGGAGGCACAAGACAAACATTATGAGCGAAATGAAAAAAGACAATAGAGTTGGAACCCCCTACATAGTCAAATAAAGAATCTAGAGTTACACATTAAATTCAATCCATTATCTGAAAAATGACTTGAAGACACACTAGCATTGCAGGATTTTCTTCCTGCTGATTAAAAAACTCAAGTTCAATCGGATATAAAACCATGACAAGAAAGAAAGCACAATTACAAGGACAGCTGTTCGAAATTAGTTTGTGCAAAGTCTGCATTACATGTAACATGCCCATGCTCATCAGCAAATACATATATCGTAGTGGCTTAAATATAGCACTTTTCACTCTTGCCAAGATTTCAACAATCCACAAACAATTTATTGCATGCTGCATACCAATTGTCCTTGAGATGCTAAAGCAGAAGACATGAACAAAAATTAGACAAAGATGATATTTCCCATATCATTAATTGATTTTTTTCACAAGAATAAGAATATGTTTTCTAGTGGATAACAGAAATACTAGCCTCATCTTTTCTGAATGAGATAGAAGTAGAAATTAAAAGTAATATCAAAATTTGACAAAAATGGATCTATCAGTCTCATCCTTTCCATCAAAATTTGATGTAACAAACGAAATTGCTCATAAGTCTCAATAATAATCCAGAGACAATAAAAAAAATAAAACAAGGTAACCATAAGCAAGCTAGAATCCTAAACTACCATGCTGCAGGTCATAATAGGATGGATACCTTTATACGCTTTGGTCTTTCCAATTCAACATGGGAAACATAACTCTCAACAAGATATTTAAATCCAATCTCCAACTCAGCATCAAATGAACCGTCTGGATAGTCTTTAATTATCTCAGATCTCTGACACCATGGGACAAAACCATGATAGAAGTCAACAGCGGCAACGACGTTAAATAATTGCTCTGGGGAGTACCTACGGATTAAACAGTATATCAGCTTGCATATTCATTGATATATGGCTTCCAAGCTAAATTCCAATTTGCACAAAAAGAAGAAGAAGAAGAAGAAGAAGAAGAAGAATTAAGAAACGCGAGAAGCAAGGGCTTATACTTGCATTTAAAAGGTTAATAAATCGATAATTGGCAGAATTACACTGCGAGAGAACATATATCCTGTGTAACAATAGATGGAAACTTCGGGAAAACAAAATAATAACCAAATACGTCTATCGCTCACCAATTTACTAAGGAAGCTCGACTGAGACACCGAAATTAGAAGCAGAACACTCTGATTCCACCAAAGAGCATTCATTTTGTACACGTAGAAGCAAACGCATTATCGAAGGAAAAATAAAAAGAAGTATATAACCACATTACCCCAAAACGCGCTTCTCCTCGTACACTTTGGATAGTACACCTTCTTCACCATCTCCACATCCCAGAAACTGCCTCATTTGAACAAAATAATTCTGATGAAAACCTCCAACTGCTGATATAGAATGAGCGTAGCAGCCAAAGGGTTTGCAAATGGACCGGTTCTGGATGCCCGCAATAGTACTGAAGCATTGGCACCGATCGGGTTTCTCGAGCTGCCAATGGCTCGCGCCGAAACTAATTAATTGTCTGACACCGGTTTTACGCGATGAAAAGGATCGGAGAGCTTTTGAGGTAGACAAAAATGGTGGCATTTTCGAATCCCAGAAATTGGGGAACCCTAATAAAACGGGCGCGTCTAAATAGGCGCAAATCAGAAATACAATAATTACAATACAAATGCTGCTAAAATCACGGAAACAAGCTCATTGGAATTCTAACCGCAGAAATAATTGCCGATCAAAGGAAAAACTCACGAGCGAAGAACACATACTCCGAGTTAAAGCTTTTGAAGCCTATGAAACAAAAAACCGAACCTTGCAACAATCCTGAAATGAATGAAGACGCCCCGGCAAAGCAAAATCGACAAAGATTGAAAGGAACTGCAGAAGCCAAGGATTTCGTGAGAAATCGAGATTGGGGGTCGATCAACTGAACGGGGACTTCAAAGTGAAAATAACAAGAAATTATAATTGAACATGAACGGAGGCGGTTCCTGAACAATTGCGTTCCAGCCAAAACCACGTGGTTGTTCCCTTAGAAGGACCAAACAGACAGCGCCGTTGCTGCTTGACCCGAACCAAAAAAAAAATAGGAACACGCGCCTTCCACGGCAGAACCGCCTGCGTATTGTTTTGGTAATTGGCAGGTGGAAATTGACGGCAAATTCTTGTGAATGAATTTTTTATCTGCCGTGTACTTTTTTTTTACTCACTTATTGACCTTATATACTATAATACAATCACGAAAAAATTTAGGCATATTTCCTACATCATCGCTATGCTATTTATGCGGCATAATTTATGCCTATGGCATGATAAATACATGAATTTCATGAATTTTTATATAGTTTTATTTTTTAAATTCATATAATTAAATTTTTTAAAAAATAATATGTTTGTGTATAATTATTTATTTGAGGAAAAATATTTTGATGGAAGCTAATTTGGATGCACTTCAATTGTGCGCAAGAAATAGTCCCCCTTTTTTCGGGAGATTGGAAGGCTAGTCTCGTAAGCAACATTATTGAAGGGCAAATAATTCGAAAACGTACGAATGGAAGCTGGAAAAGCGATGACAGGTGATGCCAACTAAAGAAGCATACGTAATTATAATTAATAGTGAGGACAATGAGCTACAGACTCCAGAAAATAACTACAGATGCTGTAACTTGTACATCCATACATACATCACCAGCAGATCAGAAGCCCCGTATTCGTTGAAGGAGATGAGCAACGGTGCATCTGCAGCTTGCTGGTGAATGGTGATGCATGTGTTCTCCAATCATATATTCATTCAAGTCAGTATTAACAAATCTAGCAACGGTGCATGTGCAAGTGATCAATTATTCTCAGCTCCAGAATCACTACAGATAGATATATTATCCAAATACAGCGAAATTTCTTAATACTGGTGCATGGAATCGGGTATGAAAGGCTCGAGTTTTAGCATTCCGCCACTTGTTCATCAACAAAGTTCTGATCTGTCATCTCTGCAAAAACCCCCGGCTGCTTAATTAAGCGATTGGAGGACAGACAGAGGAGGGAGATAGCTAGAAGGAGATGAGACGAGTACAGTAGCAGTGGAGTACCTATATCGTTGAACAACATGTGGTGAGGTAGAGCTGAGTGAATATGGATTCTTGGGCCTGTACCGCGCACTTTGCTTGTGTCTCTGGACGTTACACTTTCTTCCACAACGCTACCACTTGAGCAGCTCACCTGCTGAATCCATGGCTTTGCCTTCCGTTCATGATGCCCCTCGTTCTTCCTACTTGTTTGCGCCTTCTCTCTTTCATATTTGATCTCTTTCCAGCGTCCATCCCCCATATCCTTCCACTGTGAAAAAAAAAACAAAAGAAATCCAAATTTTTATACCAAATTCTTAAAAGGACTATATGTGATAACTTGTCCACAGAGAAGTCACTCATACAACTTGTCACTGGGTGCAGCGTGTTTCACGATATTATGAAATTAAACTGCGCCGAAGGCACATATCTAATTAAGGGCCATTTTAATCAACTTTATGTATACGGCAATTTATATATTATATACTCCTTTGGTTAAAAAAATATAAATTATTTTTAATTTAAATTTCACCACATAATAAAATAGTTAGTTATTTTCAAACGAACATCATTTTTTTATATTTATTCTGTATTTAATAGGATATTTCACTTTAAAATAAATATAAAATGATATGTTTATTGAGGGTACTTTAAAAATATATATTAATTATATATTTTAAAATATTAAAAAACATTCAAATCTTAAAAAAATATCTTATATTTTTTAAGGAGGGAGTATATTATTTCAAACCATGCAATATATCCTCCTTTTGTTGTGTGTATTCATTAATCATATGATATAGCACTTTAAGAAGGCAAACGCAAAGGGAAACAACAATATCAGGGCAGCAATGATTATATTAAATTGAATATAAAAGTGATCTTAACTTATATAACTAGCTTAATTAGCATTAAATTTGTGCGAAGTCAAAAGTTATAACTTGGTGCATTAGAAGTTACTCCTCTATTCTTGTATATATAAATTATCTCCTAAAAGAATTTTATAATCTTAAATATAGGTCAATTTGAACTTGCCAAAAAAAAAATTATATATATATATATATATAGGTCGATTTGAAAGAGCGTAGCATTAACTACTTTATTTCAAATATGCTCTTCTTTTTCATTTTCAATCTCGATGAGGAGATAGAGAATATTTATTTTTAAAAATTTATAGCATCTATTAAGAATAAATTAAAGTAATTTTTAGACAAATTTTTCTTTATTCATGTGAATTTGTTACAAGTGATTTAATAATAAGAAATGAAGATAATAGAACATTATTTTTACTCACAGCCAGGAAAAAAAAAACTAGTTATCATGCATCGATTATTAATGAATGCAAAAAACACATTTTGTTTGAATCCGGGAGAAAAACAATATAAGAAACCTGAGAAGTGATGGGGGCAGTAGAGTGCGAGAGAGTTGCTTTAGGGGGGCGCCAACCCAGCACTTGCTTGGAATTATACAACTGATTTACAAATGATGCTTCCATGGACTTGAGATACTTGCTGTGTTTCTCATCGGTCCACTCTTCCGTTGACAAGCATCTCTTCCCCAGATGGTTCTGGTTAAAATAAACATGAAAATAAAAAACAAAGAAAAAAAAAAGTAAAGTAGACATGAAAATGCGTTTTTAATTTTAATTTCTTGGGATTCATTTTATGGATGGTTTTCTCCGAGGACCAATAAATTAAAATCGCATGGGATGTGAAATGAGTTGATGATGAAGAGAAATGAAAAGTACCTGCACCTGATTGGGTGGTAGCTTGAAGTCGCTTGACTGGTGGAGGAGGTTGGGTGAAATCGTCGGAACTTGGGCCGATCTGAAATTCTTCATAGTATCTCGTCGAAGATGAACAGAGGAGGAGGGAGACACATTAGGATATAGGAATGGGAGAGGAGGTGGAAGCGGTGGTTGCAACCAGGAACAAGAATGAAAATAATCAAAGGTAGTTACAGTTGTCAGCGCTTTAACACGTGTCAGCGCCCATCACATCGCCACGTCATCTATGTGGGAGAACACAGGGCGACTGATATTTAGCAGCATGAAAAATATCTGGCTTCCCACACTTGAAAAGTTGGAATGGTGATGATTCGTTACATTCGATGACGTGGCACTGCACTTTCAGGCCTGAGCCCCCTCACTTTTCCTGTTCTTTAAATAATCCCATTCCCATCGGATCCTGTTGTCCTTTTCTTATCCTATCCCCGGGCGATCTTAAAGTGTAAGGTTGCGAGCGACAACTCCACCTCACCTACTTTCATATTCTAGGATATTTTACACTATATAGTGATAAGCTTATAATTTTCCCCCCTAATTTTAGTGTCAGATTTTACTAGGAAATTTAAAAATTTAAAAATTACAAATTAGTAACACTAATTGATCTTAATGCTGCTAATATCTGTCAGAATAAACCGTTAATCAATTATTATTAATAGCAACTATTGTTCAGTTATTATTAACATTTATGAGCAAAAGACTATTCTTTTCTTTGGGTCGAAACGAACAAACAAGGAAACGACTACATAATGTGCCTTACGCACACCATATAGGATTTGTTTGGTCCGTGCATTTGCAAAAGCAAAAAAACGAAAAACGAAAAAGAAAAGAAAAGAAGGCATCACCATAAATATCAAATGGGGCGTCTAACGTCGAATAAACGAGTTTCATATATACTGCAAAAACCTTTTTATCATAAGAACCATATAAAACAAGACAAATCTGTCGTTCAAAACTAAGGAGTACTCGAAAATATGAGTGGATGCTGCATGATGCGGAAAAACTGCGTTAGAATTGCACAAGTTTTAACTTTTGTGTCACGTATAATAGGCAATAGCATCATCACTCGAGAGCCCAAAGAGCAGGTGATCTGAGCCGCTTGGGACGTTTTAGCTCTCCAACCATTACATGACCTTATTCCAATCTGCCCGCATTGAATAATTGTCTTGGGAACATTCAGTGATCAGTGATGTTCTTCTTCAAATGGCATGTGCATAGAATAAAATACACGATCCAGCAGAGGCACAACAAGGAAGATTATGACTCAAATATCTGGCTTCTGCTCACTTTCTGGAATGGCTGTGTCTTGCAGATCAATACGACCTGCATAAACAAAGCAAGTAAAAACAGCAGGCTTGAAAATTATCAGCGGCTGGAGAACAGTAGAAGGATTAGCTGGTCTTTTTTTTTTTTTTATTTTAATAACAAGAAGTGGAATTGCAGCCAATTACACAAGTCTAGGGGCAGAAACCCCAATACAAGCCTAGTACATTTCTCCTACCATTTCTCTTTCAATTGGAAAGAGAAGAAACAAGGGACAAGGGCGGGGAGAGGATAAGTAAGTGTACTTGCTGCAATTTTTCTCCTTTATCCAGGCAGATTTCTACACTACTAGGTTTTGTAAGGATAAAAAAAAAAAAAAAACTTTTTTTGCCTAGTCCTGTCCTGCCTGCCTGAATTTATTTGTGCGAAGTGCGAACCTGTGCAAGTATATCAGATCATACCTAACAAGGAAATTAGGGACGGGGATTGTGATGATCCATGCAATCTGACATCCGTATCTGCAAAACATTGTGCATTTAAAATTACAGAACAAGATGTTTCGAAGCAAAGTAATTAGACCACCGTAGATGACCTACCTGAACTTCCTATTGATTTAAGGACGTCTGATTTCTTATAAGTATATCCTATGAAATTGGTGTCTTTAGATGTTAACATCTGCGAGAAATGTCAAAAGGAAAGTCATAAAATTGCGGTTTCAATACAAAGGGAGTATGTATAGCACGTATAAAAGACCTTGAAAGCAAGTTTTAGGGGAAATGAATAAACAAAATATCTCCCAACAGACAAAAAATTTTGAAAACGAAAAATTTCACTCGACAGTGATAGTGGTCAAACTAGACTGCTGAATGTCATCAGTCCAGCGGAATATGCATTTCTTTAATAGGCCAGAAGAACAAAGAAGTGAGATCTAATAGTTAGCCCAAGGCCAAAAAATATATTGGGCCCACTTCAGAATAACTTTGGTTAGCAAACACTTTTGGGGGAAAAAATCAGAAGTCAATATTAATTATATAATGGGCCTAGCCTAATGAAAACAGTAAGGTTAAGGGAAAAAAAATCCATGCACATAAATCTTGGCCATAAACTAAATCCACACGCTTAGAAATGACCTTAAGCAATTGCAATATGACAGAAAATGATTTACCTTTCGCCACGGTCCCATGGTAGCTGTTGTGGATGGTGGTCCTTCTAACTGAAATAAACAAACTCACAAAAGTTGAGTTGTGCTGAGATAGTATGGAAATTGAAAGCATAAGCCTAGGATCACTAAGGAACCTCCGTGATATAGTTTACAGTTTTCTGCTACACTGGCTCTCAAACAAAAAATAGTATCTAACATAATTTGCAATGCGATGAAAAACTTGAAAGATAAAATGGAACATGTTGACATTGAAAGAAGCAACCATTTCCATTCTTAAAAAGGCCAGTGGAATTATATTAGTTTAGAAATTTTGTGAAAGTTTCTCCGCAGAATTGGCAGCGCAAATTTTCCATTTTCACCTGTCAGAATTTTCTACATGTACATTTTTGTACTCACATCTGGAAACTTCTCAAAGTTTTGTGTGTCCAAGTCTCCAGTGACAGTAGGTTTATATGCAGCTTCCATTTCATACAGCGTATCCCACTGAATAGATCTGAACCATGGATGAGCCTGGAAAAGGAATTAAAGGTATATTAACAGTGGACTTGCCACATAGGCATGTTCAAAAATGGGCAAATGTGCATTTTTGATTTTGAAGTATTCTTCAAGAAGCACCCAACACACTAAATTATTGATTAGAGCAGTTTTTCCCTTAATGTAATTATTTCAAGGACAAAATTGTTTTGACCAATAGTTTAAGGTGCTGGGTATTTCTCGAAAAATACTTTAAGAATAAAAATGCACCTTTACTCTTAAAAAGAAAATATAATTTCCCTAGTAAGCAATATATTGGCTATACTTAACAGAGTTGTTACCTTTATTTCTTCGACCCCTCTGGTTCCAAGTCTTGTATCCACATCACATAATAAGTGACAAATAAGATCCTCAGCCTCAGCTGATATTTTGGGCTCTCCAGGGAATTTAAGGCATGTTTTCCAGTTAATTATCTGATACAATAAACAACACCATGTCCTTATGAACAAATGGGAAAGATTATGAGAACAGAGAAACCAATTTAATTAAATACCTTACGACATGTCATCCTTGGATCATCAGAACAAAAGGGAGGATATCCGATAAGCATCTCATACATGATAGCCCCGAGAGACCACCAATCACATTCCATTCCATAGCCCTTTTTTATCAAAACTTCAGGTGCCATGTAATCAAGAGTTCCAACAGTTGAATATGCCTGAAGAAGTAAGTTAGAAAACATAAACTACCTTCGTACTAACGTACTTTTCTGTTTATAACTAGAAGCAGAAATTTAAAACTTCTGTAAATCATTAAGTCATTTTGTCGTAGCTATTGATTTTTTTTTTTTCCCGAACTAACAATTAACGATGATTTAAACTGGAGGGAAATGGCAATACCAATGCTCGGCGATTACGTTTCCACTGTTGTAATTGCTCCTTTGGCATCAACCAAGGGGATGCAGAATATCCTTCAGCCTCACTTGTTGATTCATTACTGGTCAAATCTTCACTTTCCAACAAAATTGATGAATACTTATCATCAAGAGGCTTACATAAGCCAAAATCTGATAGCTTCAGGTGGCCATTTTTATCCAGTATCAAATTATCTGGTTTTATATCCCTACAAGCAGAGTGCATGCGACTAAGCATAATCTTTATTGCTTGATAGATTTGAGAATAACTACTCACCAGAAAAAGTTATAAATCCTTTTCCATAAACAACGTTCCTCAGTAGAATTTCTGGATATGGACTGATGTGACTTAAGCGGTGAGGAAAACCCACCAGGCCCCCATAAGAAACTAGGGTATTATAGGTGGAGTGTCTTAAGACTTACATACCATTTTTATATTTTGACCGTTACTCTGTATGGGACATTCAAGAGATTCATCTTAAATGCATTCTTCTTACAAATCTGACAAGCTATATCTAAATTGTACATGTTATTCTTTTCTTTTCTTTTAACTGCAAGCAATCCGTGTTTAAGAAGATGAAATACTGCATTACATATTGTACCTTAAGAATACAGGCTCCTGGTAATTTGAGCCAGAGTTTGCAGAATTTTATCCTTTTTAGACCAAGTCAAGAGCTAACTTTTTTTCCTTTGAGATCGAACTTGTTAGTATAAAGGATGGCTCTAATGGCGCATGAGAATATGAAGAACTTTCAAGGTATTTTATGTTCACATATCACAGTTCTTGTACATAAATTAGCTTCGCGTAGCAGGGAGACCAAATTAGTTTCACAATAGCCATACCTGTGTATGTAATTGTGTTGATGTATCGAGTGGATAGCTAAGATGCTTTCAGCAATGTAGAAGCGAGCAACATCTTCAGAAAGGATATCTTCTCTCATTAATAATGTCATGATGTCACCACCGGGTAAATACTCCATGATGAGATACAGGAAATCAGAATCTTGGAACGAGTAATGGAGTTTTACAATGCATCGGCTATCAACCTCTGCTAGTAAATTCCTCTCAGATCGAACATGTTCCACCTGAATTAGAACGACAACGTGATGTAAGAAGTAAATGAGTTCACTCTAGAGGTCCTGTAGACGCCATTATTTAGCACTAAAAATTTGAAAACATTTAAAACTCCTTTTTGAAACTGAAGCTCATGTATAATAAAAATCTTATTCAATCTTTGCCCAACATCAAAGTACATATGCAACGCCCTTTTTCCAGCCAGATATATCCCATTAGACCAAAGGAAAACAAATATATTTATTGAAAAAGTTAAACAACTTTAAGCAGATACAATATACCAGGTAGCACCCTATTTTCCATTGGAATATCACATAAAGAGTTGGCATTCAGCACTTAAATTTTGTTAATGTCAAATGCTCTCTTGAAGCCCGATGAACGGCAATGAGCAAGATCAAGAAAAGTATAAGACAAAGTTTATGTCTTTGATTGCAATTTGAAATAACCCATCATTTTGAAATGAATACTAATTAAAGTGATAGGCCGATGAGCACAAGGGTTTCCGCTTTCTTGCGATGAGTGGTTAGAAGATTGCTGCATTGGAGTAACATGTATGCAGAGCATGTACCAAGCTTGACTGCTATTACCTGTCCTCGGCTAAGCATTTCTGATTTCTTCAGTTTCTTCATGGCATAAATCTCTCCTGTACTTTTAGCACGACATAACCTCACCTGCATTATATGACATGTTACGGAAATACAAACTATTAGAATTTAAAACTTAATTTGCAATGCTATCTATCTTCATTGCGCACCTCGCCAAAAGCGCCTTTGCCAATTACAGTTAACTGCTCAAAGTCATCAATTCCAACTTTACGCCTCTGCAGTCTCATGTATTCAGTCTCTCGGCGCTCCAAATTCCTCATCATTTGCTCTTGTTCTTCAGTTGATACCTGAGCTTCTTGTGCTTGCCTTTGAAGTGCTATACGTCTGAAACAAAAGCATAATTTATTGAAGTAACACCTATTCTTCGGAAATAAAACAATATCCGCTTTGACTATTCTGAGTTAAGTTGATAATTATAAAATATATGCTAATATATCCACCCCGATGGTCCATCATAACTCAAACGCAAGATAATTATAAAGCGCGGGCCTCCTAATATAATTGTTTTAAAGCTCGTAAATGGAAAATATAGCATGTTCTCAATCTGTTACCCGAAAGATTCTTGAAAAGCATCAGACAGCGTTCTAATTTGGATTTTTGGGAAAGCACATATATGAAACAGACATTTGAAAGAGGATAACACAAGTTTTGCTGCCCCGGCGGTTTTTACTGGACATGTCTCTTTCCAAGTGATAAGAGGAGTCTTCACACATCATATTTGTCAAAGGGATGTATAATATGAACCACCAATTCAGGATAAGGAGAGACGATAATACGAAGACTTAACCAAGAACAACGTCAATATTCCTATTCCATTGCTTTAATATTCTCAAAAGGAGCCAGCAAGAGTTTAACCAAAAACTATGATATGAACACGATTATACAAAGGGTGAGAAAATAGCAGAGAGAAAAAAGAAGTGTAAACAAATGCACGTAAAGAGAAGCGACCAGTAGACTGAAACAGTAAATCAGTTCTATGAAAGCATTAACTGGAAGATTGGCAACGGAAATCTCAGAAACTCTGAATCAATGGAGGAGGAGGATGGAAGTAAATGCAGAAAATTGTGTCATTAAAAACGAACAGAGTTAGACATGGCATAGCAAAAAAACTAAAAAGAAGGAAAATACATACCTCTCTTTTCGATCCTGCAATCCTTGGAGATAATTCTTGTAATGATTTTCAATGAACTGCTTAGCAGCAGCAGCCTTCTGTCTGGTAACTGGAGAGGAAACCGACACATCAGGGCCGGAGTCAAATTCATTCCGATCGTGGTTCATGTTAAGAGCTCCAAGTCTCACAGTCCCGTCGTAACCTTCCATAATCGTACGGATCACTCAAAACGGCAGAATCAGAGAGGAAGAAGAGCGCGCGGAAAGAGCGGAGGCTTCGGAGTCAGAGGATTTCGTAAGAGAGATCTGCGAGTGTTGGTGAAACTGACGCAGAGACGGACTGCTTGGCAATTGGTATATATTGGGATGGAGTCTACGAAGCTGTGGCAAGGCTGTCTTATCAGTGAGTTGTCGTCCGCACATATTTTGTTGTTTGCTCAGAAAATAAATTCAAATACTCCGATTTTGTCCCGATTTATTTGATTTTGGAGGAGAGACATATTTTCTTCTATATTTTTTTTTTTTAATTGGGGGTGGGGTGGGCGCCAATTTTTTTTTTTTTTTTGAGGGTTCAATTGGGGGCCAATCTTTATCTGGAGTTACTGATGAGATAAATTTTGTTGGGAATGGAGTGGGATCGACGCCATCGTTTTCCTCACATTAAGTGGTGGAATCTTTGGAAGCATTTCGCATCATGGTGATATCTGACTTTTGACGCGAAAGTGGGGAGAGATAAATTTTGACGCTACTGTCGGCGGAGATCCGTTTAAGGCTACACAGTCACGTTCTCATCCCCTGGATGTGAGAAATGAAAATCATACTTCCACGAGATTCCTCCCTCATTTAGTATTTTCTAAATATATTATACAAATAGTTATTTTCTTTCTCTTTATAAAATCTGGCTGTTGTTTGAACAAGTCAAGGCCAATATTGACAAGACCTCAGTCAAATAAAGAAATTAAATTCATGACGTCTTGGTTGCTTGGAGTAGAGCCCAAGGGATAAGAAATAAGAGCAGCGTCTCTGGCCACAGGCTTTACCCAATCGCTTGGTGCGTTACGTTGGAACCTCTATCTTACATTCTTCTCACGTAAAAGCACACACAGGAGAGCTAGTACTTGTTGGATTTGCAGAAGGTTTTTATAATAATAAAAATAAACAAGTTTAACATGTCAAGGAAAAAAATTTGCATGCTGTTCATGAAAAAAAAAAAAAAATTGGATGCCGATGGTCTAGGGGATCAGATGATGCTATCTCCTTCCTAAAAAGGGCAGCATGCGGGTTCAATCCTGTATGTAGAAGTGTGTATTGTGGTTGCCCTTTAATTAAAAAATTAATATTTATATGTTGATGAATAATAGTGACTCTAATACATATTAAATATTTTTATAATTAATTATAAAATTTACATATATTCAATAAAATGAAATATTCGGTTTTGAAAATTTTGTTATGTGTTTTATATAAAAATCAAAATATATACAGTTTGTGTTGATAATATGATTCATTTGAAATTTCTTTAAATAGCATCATGAAACAAAAATAATATTAGAAAATTGATAAAAGTGAAAATTCCTTTTCTCATAATCATAGGTAAAGTTGTTAAACTTGCAACTTTAAATAAACTCGTAAAAGAAATGTGAATTGGTATTGAAAACTTAGATTGTAAACTCATAAAAATTTACTTATATTGATAAATAATCATTAAAATATGATTGTAATTTAATTTAAATATATTAAAAAATAAATTATTGAAATTAAATGCATCTACATTAATAAATTATCATATATAAGATATAAAAATTTTAAAATAGGGAAATTAGTTTTGGCATTTTTGTTTTCTTTTTTATTAATATTAGTTTTTACATTTTAAGTTTTTTTGTCTTTAAATCAAATATTATAACTTTTATGAACCAAATTTTTTATAATATATACTTAACATAACGAGCTTAACAAGCTTAAACAAATTTACATTTAGTTCGAGTTTATGAATTAGTTAACATGATTTTATAAATTAAAAATGTAAAAATGATAAACTCACAGGTATAACTAAATTTGTATGTAGTCTAAGTTTATGAGTAAATTGACACAATTTTATGAGTTGAAAATGTAAAAACATTAAACTTATAAAATTAACATGAAAGTTTGACAACTACAGTGATAGCTAGTGGAATTTAGACATGATAGATTATATATATATATATATATATATTTTATCAGCTCGATTTAATTTAATTTCTTACTGCGCACGTCTTAATTTAAAATTTCATCATGTATACTGAACAATGCATCTGTTAGAAAAAGTGTCTTCTACAAGTCAATGGGCTTCCTCTATATCATTTCAGGAATCCTCAGTCATGCTTTCACTTGTTTCATGAAATCATCACTGTCAAGCATAAAGAAATTGCTATCCTCGTTGAATTGGAGTGGCATTGTTTAAATTGCAGCCGTACACAAACAATATATATATATATATATATCGAGGAATGAAATTCAGGAATTACTGGCACGTATATTCAAGTGAGTATATTGGGACGGAAAACAGGAAAGGAATCTCCAGTGCAATTTTCGGTACATATGAACTGCACTTGTCCATTTGTCATTGCCCAGGAAAATCGCCTCCGACAAATCATTCTGCTGCTAGATTGATGAAATATGCTAGTGCTTATTATTGCAGAATTCCAGAACTACCTAATTAAGCTCATTCCTTGCATAAATCATTTGCTCACTGTTGCTAATTTGAAATTACATTAACCTCTCATTAATTTATGTTAGTAATTAATTCATGCCATCCCTAGCTTCAGAGTAACGTCATGATTAAAAAAAATCATTGGGTATTAAAAAATCAATATTGTCTTAAAATTTTAAAATAATAGAAAAATAGAAATGATTTTCTAAAAGGTACTAGTAATTGTTTTCCTGTTTCGCACGCATATTCAGCTCAAGATCTATTTACATCAAAAGAAAAGGAAGGGAAGTTAGGTGAAGTGAGGGCATAGCATAACAGACAGTCCTAGATTGCAAATTTAAGATACGTGCCTAAAAAATGAAAAGGTTGCGGTTAAGGTGATCCGAATTTATATAATTTAAGCATGTATGAGGGATTACCGTTAACGTTGGAATACTAGGCATGGTTCGGTGATTGAGAGCGAGGGAGTCCTCTGCGTTATTTGTCGGCGGGGCAACGTCACTTGTCAAGCTTCTAAAAGTCGTGGAAATAATGTTGCTTCTAAGAGGCTCGTCAATTGGTGTCCTTTCTTTCCCACCAAATGCACAGCACTGATTAGCAAGCCGAGGATGGCAAATCACGCCTGAAGTTGTAGAGTAGAGTAGGCCAACCGTATTATCTTGCTGTTTCATGCGTGCAACTGGCGCTCCCTTCCATATCTCGACTGAGATTTTATCGCCTTTTGGATCACCGCTCAGTGCTCACGCGTCCATCGCCAAAGTTGAATCCTTCGAAAATGCCTGCGCATTGGTGACGTCATTTTAGAATTATTTGTATTAAGTTAAAAAAAAAACACATACGCTATAATACACCTTTTAAAGAAATCTGTTAGTCCTTAATATAAGATATTTAATTAAATATTAATTTCATTTTATCAATATTACTCATATTTAAATTTATTAACTATGAAAAAAAATATAATACATATTTAAAATGTTTCATTTAAATGTCAGTAAAATTGGAAGTTCGCTGCATTTTCAAGCAAAATTAATAATTTGATCATCTTTGCATTAATTATGATAAGATGAATAAAAATGCTCTATAATGAGAATGAGAGAGAGCATACATCAAAAACAAAACTGTGGGGATTCATCAACATGGGTCCTACTTCGACGTCACCTTTGCATTTCGGAGCAATGAGGAGCTCCGCTTGGGGAGCAGTTAAGAAACCACACTGATCTCTTTGTTCTCAGGGGCTTTTGGATCCTCGGTAATAATCAAATCTCTTTGTGCTATTGAGTTATTTCCTTCCTTTATTTAAAAATATAAAATATTTTTAATTAAATTATTATCCTAATAATTATTTAATTATTTTTAAATTAATATTATCTTTTTATATATGTCTTTATTTAATTAGGCGTTTTGTTTAAAGATAAATGACTGAGTGATATATTCATTAACGATGGTTTTAAAAAGAAAAAAAAACTCACAAACCGTGTATTAGTATTAAAAAACTAAAAATATTTTATAGATTTGAACACCTAATTTAAAAAAAAATGTATTATATTTTTAAATAAAAGAAGCACCATACAACATAAAGGATCTCTTATTTCCCATACTTTTGATGTTGCATTACATTATTTGTAAGCTGGAATTTTTTTTTAATTCCCAACACTCAATGTACAGTTGTTTTTTTGTGGAATGAATTCATCTTCGCTCGACAGAAAAGGATGTCTTGTCACACCCCACTACTGCGTTTATTCTCTGAAAGAGCGAGCAAAAAGATTGTGAACTTGAAGTTTAGGATCTGTTTATTTTCTGTTTTTAAAAATTATTTGTTAAAAATTTAAAAATTTATTATTTTCAAAACTGTTTTTATTTTATGTTTTTAAAAATTAAAAAAAACAACTTTAAATTGTTTTTATTTTATTTTTCTCATATTTAAAATATAATACACTGGTTTATTGAAAATTATAATTCTTTTAACCAATTTCTATTATTAACCACCACAATTAACTGTTTATAAACATCATTATCAGTTTATTTTTATTCTAAAATTATTTTTTAATTGACATAACCACATAAATTTTTATTTTATTTTATTTTAAAAATAATTTTAAAAACTGTATTACAAAATATTTTTAAAAAATAAAGAATGAGAACAGAAACCAAACAGATATTTTTTCATTCGCATGACTAACGGTAACAAAACTTTGAGTGTGTTTGAACCCTATATGTTGATAATTGGCTGTGTAATTTAGGTTCATTGGGTGGGTAGAAGGACACAGACGTGAATTTTGACCAAAGAAACAATAGCCTTGCCATGAAAGTAGTATAGGTCCTCTCATTTTTTTCTTTTAACCTATAAGTATTTTTTATTAAAGATAATTTTTTTTAATAAAAATTTAAATTTTAATTTATTATATTATGAGGGATTAATTTTTCATTGTTTTTTACTCTGGAATAGATGTGAAAGTTCTCCATGTGGGCCAAGAAACATCTATATAAAGTATAAACCATAGCATTGCCTTGAAGATTTTTTGAAGATCAAAAAGACTTTTACTGATTGATATATCTATTAACCCAATGATCTCTGTGGCCCAAAAAAACCCAATTATAAGTGAACGTAGTTATCCAACAAAACAAATTGAAGGGCCGCGAAAGGAGAACTGAGCTCGGTTTTTGATCTTCTTGTTTCTCTGGGTTAGTTTGCACAGAGCACAAAGCTTCACTCTTTTAAACCGATAAGGTGAACGTTAACGCTGAAGTCTATGACGTACGCGAGAAAATGGATGCCATGCCAGATAAGGGAGAACTAATCTGAGGTGTAGAGAGAGAGAGAGAGAGAGAGAGATAGGAGGAAGGAAAAGCAAGCAGAGAGCACTGTTAGTGCTCCAGGCATGGCTTCATTAACTAACTTGCCGCCATATACCCACCCTCGCACAAACCCTACGTTTTTCCACTTTTCTCCGGCGATTCTTTCTTTCCGTTTCTGTCGGAACTCATACTTGCTTCATCCTCGTCTCTGTGCCCTCAACTCAGGTTCTGACGCCGATAATTTGCTCAGGAAGCCCGTTGTTTCTTTGGGGAAGGACATCGCTGAAATTTTGGAAGAAGATCAGGACAGAGGCGTAAAGAGGGTCTTTGAAGACGACAGCGAACAAGAGAGGTGGATTGACTGGGAGGACCAGATTTTGGAGGATACTGTTCCTTTGGTCGGTTTTGTGAGGATGATTCTTCATTCTGGAAAGTGAGTTTTTCTTCTTCCTATAATTATGATATTTTTCTCTTATCCGATTTCAGAGTTTCAGTATTCAGGGGAAGCAGTTCGAACGTATGACGAATTAACGATACTGCAGCATGTTGCCCTTAATATTCGAAAATCTATATTTTTCATATTAGAAGTCCGGAATAAAGTTTGGGCGCTGTTCCAGTCATTGTTTGATGTTAAGTGAGATGAGTTACTTAGACATTAAAATTGAAATGCCTTGTGTTTGGCGGGTGCGTGCAATCCCTGCAATGGATAGTTTTAAGCTTAAACATAAAGTGTAATAATCTGCAGGTGATCACTTGATGGGGAAGGATGGTTGTTGTTTGACTTTTATGTTGTGGGCTTGGAGTAAAATTGACTTGCATTCCACTGTCAGCCTCGTACCCCGAGATTGTTTATCAAGAAAGTATAACTATTTCATATCAACTTTTACTCATACCCTCTCCTTATTTCCATCTCAACAAAGCATTTTGCGCTTGTATAACATGTGCATGTACCTGGACGGAGCTTTGTTGAGTGAGATGTCAGACTTGAGGGAGAGCATTTTGATGAACAACACAGCCCTTTGTTTCAAGCTTGGTTTGAGTGAGAGGTGAGACTTGAGGGAGAGCATTTTGCGTTTTTATAACATGTGCATGTACCTGGACGGAGCATCTGGAAGCTCCTGAGGGCAACTTTCATGAAGCCATTAATTATTATTAATTTTTCGTTATTTGAAAAAAGCCATTACTTAGTTGAATACTTTATGTTTTGGCTGAGTGAACTAGGTGGATACATGTGTAAAGGGTTCGTGTGATCATGTAGTTGTTCTGACGTTGTACTTCCTTTTCACCTATTGATCCCTGGATTAACATTTGCAACCTGTAGTTTTCACTTGAATTTGAAGTATTGCCTATCAGGCTCTGATTCATGTTGTCTTGTCTCAATGCCATCCACCCCCTGGCTCTGGGTGGGTTGCATTGTTTTCTTGCCTAGCATTCCATCGAGAAGGGTAATCATTGCAAATTACTTTTAGAAGTCTCCGTGCCAAAGATATCTGATACATTTAATGACAATAATGTTAATATGTTATTGATAATGTTTCAATGAAGTGTTCTGATTTCCTTCATGCAAATTATAAAATATTTCTGAATGTGAAATCGTGCCACAGATATGAAAGTGGAGATAGACTTATTCCAGAGCATGAGAATACCATTCTTGAGAAACTCCTTCCGTTTCACCCAGATTTCGAGAAGAAGAGAGGATGTGGAATTGATTATATAACGGTAACTTTCTCTACTAGCATTCTCGCTCACTACATAAACTGGAAAACAGAATATTGGTAGAAATTAAAGGAAGTCCAAATTCATGCATTTCAGTGTCCGTGTTCATTATTTATGAATTCTGAAGGTTTAGCAAGTTATTAATAGACATTGGATGTTGCCCATTCACAAGTAGCTCCCCACCTGTCATTTCAACACTGAAATGGGTCTGTAGGAGGATTCAAACCTGCTTTCATATATTCGCTAAACTAGGTTTCATGTATCACGAAATGCACACATAATTGGACTTAATTTATTCTTATATCCTTCTCAACTTTGCAATAAGTTCCTGATGCTACTGGTGCTATTAAGATGGTCTTTAAATTGCCCATATTTTGTCGTGTCGGAAGGATGAATTTGAAAGATGCTTTATAATCAACTTCTTCTTGTTGTCTTTTCTCATCCTATGGTAGTTATAAGTTCACACAAATTTTTTTTTTCTTTTTGGGAATCAAAACACTGGAATTCATTCAAAGTAAAGGAAAGAACAATACAAGGCCCAGTACAAACCTAGAAGAAACAAAACTCAATCATCATTCACCTCCTAATGTAACACCAGGTGGTGCATGATCAAAGATACAAAAAGTGCTATCCAAAAAATGAGCTTTCCTAGCAAGAGAATGAGCATGACTAATAATGTTCCTAAAAACAAAAGTAATAGAAATATTCCAGTCTCTATTAAAAAGATTATAGGCTTTTTGAATGAAATCATGGTAAGGGTTTTTTTCTTGGTAACCTCTGGTGATGAGATTAATAGCTTTAATGCTGTTAGAGTAGACTTCCACATTCCTAAAGCCTTTAGGCTAGCAAAGTTCAAGGTCTTCATAAATTCTCAAGACTTTAGCAATGGTAGATGGATAGTTCAACAAGTCTACAGTTAAAACCTATTAACCATTCTCCATTATCATCAATAACACAACCTCCACAAGTAGCAACTCCATTGAGAGAGGATCCATCAACATCAAGCTTGATGGCAGCATTAGAGGGGGGATGCAAGGTTCTTGTATATTGTGATCCCGCGTGAAAAGTGTGGAGCTTTCCTAGCCATCTGGAATCAGTCATCGCTTTTGCAAGGCATTTGTTAGGATCTTGTTGTATAAAGTGATTCTTGAGTATCAAAAAGATTTTTACATCAAAGGTCCCAACACATATATGCAAAAATCGTTGTCCAAGGTAGACTTGGATTAGAGCTACGCCCTGATGGGTTGGAAGAATTCCACCTGATCCACTCTAGATAGTCTAATTTTGTAAAGTCAAACTAACTTTCAGGTTTGACTAACTGCCTCTATGCCTTTTGAGCAAATTTGTAGTCACGAACAATATTCATGGCATTCTCCTCCGTCCTGCATCCAAAAGGGCATTCATGCGAAACAGCTACTTTCTTTTTGGCCCGCAAGCTTGCTGTGTGAAGCCTATTCTTTCCTAGGAGCCAAGGTAAAGCTTTGATCTTTTTCAGCATGTTCCATTTCCATAGTTTCGTCTAGATTTAGTCTTTACCTGGTGATGTACTTGCAAAAAGAAAATCATAGGCAAAAGAAACATTAAAAGAGCCATCAATGGACGGCTTCCATGTAAATTTTTCTTTTCCTCTCCTCTCATTAGGAGGGCTAGTGCTAGTGATACCACTAACAACGGAGTAATCAAGCCATTTCATCATTTCTGGTTCCAAGCACCATTTGGGTTGATGAATTGTCCAATTTTCATATCAAGTTTCACCGGAAAGGTTTTATTTTGAATAACCATGACCAATGGTTGATTTAATATAGGCCAATTATCACACTAGAAGTTGGACGCGCTACCAGGGATACACCTCTTGTCTAAACCCTCTAGAAAGCTCTCCCAAACTTTGATAATACTCTTCCAACTTTTGAAGGAGCATTTTTGTTTTGAGACTGAGGGGAGAATTTCATTTTCACATTCATAGTTGGTTTTCAAAACTCTGACCCACAATGCTTCCCTATTGGTTACTAAATTCTGACAAAGCTTAAGGATGAAAGCTTGATTTTGACGTGCAAGATCCTTCACCCTTAATCCACCTTGTTTTTTTTTATGTTTCACAATTTCCCAAGAGACAAGGTGCATTTTCCTTTTGTCATCGCAGCCACCCCACAGGAAGTTATTGCTAGCTTTTTCAGCATCAATCAATGGCTTTTTAGGGAGGAGCATCGTTTGTATATGGTAATTAGGTAGAGCTGTCAACACAAAGTTAATAAGGACAGATCTGCCCGCAAAAGTTAAAAGTTTACCTTTCCAACCGGACAATTTCTTGTAAACCCTTCCCAATATAGGCTTGAAATGATTATAAGAGGCTCTTGTGTAAGAGAGGTATGCCAAGGTATTTCCTGAGATCATCAGTATGCCCAATGCCCATAACTTTACTCGGAGTCATTGCTTTGGAGAAGTAAACTATCTTAGAGACACCCTTGCGAGTTTTACTTTTATTGACTAAGTGGCCTGAGGCTTTACAAAACTTATCAAGGCAATCATTAATAACTTCCATTTGGTCCACCGTAGCCTCCCCGAATAGGAATAGGTCATTTGTGAAGAAAGGATGGAAGATAGCCAAACCATTTTTGACTAACTTGATAGGCTTCCAATTTCCTTCTTTAACCTCATCTTTAATCATGTGACTTAGTTCCTCCATACATAGTGTGAATACATGGGGAGAAATTGGGTCACCTTGTCTGATCCCTTTAGAAGGCTTGAATTCATCTGTTGATTCCCCATTCCATAAGATTCTCATGGTTGAGCTTTTCATGGAAACCAAGATAAGATCAAGACTATTGTTTTTGAAGCCCATTTGTTGTAAGCATTTCTTGACAAAATCCCATTCAAGTCTGTTATAAGCTTTTTCCATATCAACTTTAATGGCCACTAATCCATTTTTGGATTTTCTAGTTTTCGTGGAATGTATTACTTTTGGGCCACAATGACATTATTGCTCCCTTGCTTCCCTTTGATGAAATTGCTTGGTGGTCTCCAACAAGCTTGCTCATGACATTCTGGACTCTGGTAGTTAGCACTTTAGAGATCACCTTGTAACTCACATTGCATAGGAAAATAGGCTGAAATTCCTTTATGCTCTCCGAGTGGCCAGCTTTAGGGATTAGGGCAAGATGGGTTTGATTGATCTTGCTGATTTTCACTGGATTTTGGAAGATATTCTGCACCATCCTAATGATTTCATCTCCCAGAATTTGCCAATATTACTGGTATAGGAAAGGCTTGGATACCAGCGGGTCCTGATGCTTTCAAAGGACCAATATTGAAAGCAGCATTTTTGATTTCCTCTAGAGTAACTTCAGCGTGCAAGGCGCTTTTATCCCCTTGTTCAAGTTTAGGGAAAGTAGTGATTGTTTTAACCTAATGAAGTTGGGAATGATCAGACTTGAAGAGGTTTAAATGAAAATAACTGCTATATCTTTCAACTCTTTTTGATCAACAATCCAAACCCCTATCGAATTTTTCTGGACATCAATTCTATTTCTATGTCTTCTCATTTTTGTGGTAGCATGATTAAATTGGCTGTTCTTATCACCCCATTGAAGCCAATTACATCTAGACTTTTGATGCTACAATAATTCCTCTTGAGTAAGTGGTTTGTTGTATTGCTTTCAAAGTTCAAATTTGACTTTTTGGAGATACTGGTTATCTCTTTTGCTCTTGGCTCTGTCTAATCCTTCAAATTGCTTCACAAGGTTCTTTTTTTTTTTAGGAATATTGCCAACCTGTATTTATTCCAGTGCTCTACCATTGATTGGAATGTTCTAACGTTCAAAGTCCAATCCAACGATGACCATGCTTTTCTTAGAATATTATGAAAATGCTCTTCTAAAGCCTAGGCAGCTTGCACTTTGAAGGTTCTGCGCTTGGGGGATATGTTGAGAGAGCTGAAATCTTTAAGGAGTAGGGGTTTATGATTTGAGCCAAATATGGAGAGGTGGTGAACTTTAAAGTCAGAGAATTTCACATGCCAATCAGTATTCGCAAAGCCCCAGTCAATACATTCTTTAACTCTATTTTTTTCCAGGTGAACTTATCTCCTACAAAATCAACCTTAGAAACATTTATTTTCCTCATACAATCACCAAGATTCCTTGTAGAAGCAGAATTAGCTGCCACTCCTCCAGATTTATCTTGCGGGGGTAGATAAGCATTAAAATCTCCGATCAAAAGCCATGGTCCTGAGATAGAGTTTCTAATAACGTTGAGTTCATCCCAAAGGTTTTTGCAGAGGAGGCAGATAGGTTCAGCATAAATCCCCGTAAACTAGAATTCATTACTAATATTGGGATTAGACATGAAGATGTTAAGAAATTGGGTAAAGGAAGAGTGATATTGTACAGAAGTTTTCCCTTTGTTCCAAAAAAGCCAAATTCCACCAGCATAGCCTGTTGCCTCTACCCTAATCCAATCAGAAAAGCCTAGTCTAAGGGAGATTTGATTTGCTTTAGACCTATTGACTCGTTTCTAACAGTACTAGAATTTTCACCATCTTATTACGCAGAAGATCATGAACAACAACAACAACAACAACAAGCCTTTATCCCACTAGGTGGGGTCGGCTACATGGATTGCAAGACGCCATTGTGCTCTATCATTTATTAAGCTTTTAGAAATATTATTAATTAAGAGATCACGTTCAACAACTTCCAAGAGTGTTCTCTTAGGCCTTCCTCTACCTCTCTTAATCGGACTCAAAGTTATATGTTCCACTCTTCTCACTGGTGCCTCCCTTGGTCTTCTTTGTACATGCCCAAACCATCTCAACCGATTTTCTACCATTTTTTCCTCAATAGGTGCCACCCTCACTTTTTCACGTATGTGCTCATTTCGAATTTTATCTTTACGTGTATGTCCGCACATCCATCGTAACATTCTCATCTCTGCTACTCCAACTTTATGCTCTTGCTGTCCCGTTAGAGCCCAGCATTCACTACTATATAACATTGCCGGTCTGATAG